CACTGTATTCTTGGAATATCCACCATATTTCCATAGATCCTATATTTTTAAAAAGTGCTTGGAGTCTGTTTTCCTAAATAGGTTAAGTTGAGCCCTGTGCCATTGTCTGTCCATGATTTACTGGCTTGGAAATCTACCTTTTGTAAACAGGGCAGAGATGAACGACAGCCCAACTTCCGATTCAAAGGTCAAAGACTGTGTTACAGGCTTGGGGGCATCAAACAGAACTTACCGTTGAAATGACTTGCCAGGAAGTCATTTTATCACATACCTGGCCATACTGGTCTACATATTCCTTTGTAAACGTGCCCTCAGCCCCGACAGCAGGACCGGCCATTCCCTTCATTTCTTTTTGGTATTGTTGATGGTATCTCACCTATTTGAAGGGAAAGGACAAGCCCATGAATTTAGCCTTCTATGTAGAGAGGCCAGAAGAGCAAAACTGAATGCATGATGGACTGCTCTGTGCCAGGTCCGCTTCTGCTTGGGCCCTTAGACAATCATTGGCATGGTAAAAACCGATGGAAAACCATGAAGATACATTACTTCCTGGCTCCAGGATACATGCAAAGCTACAGGAAGTTGGGCCCTCCAGGCCCAGCTAAGTTCTTGTCTCCTCCTCTAACATGACAACATTACCATGAACACTTACATCACTCGCCAGCTCATTGGCTCGCTTGGCTATCTGATAGGCTGGTGTGATCATAGCAGGAAAACTGCCCTTCCCTCTCTGCTGTTCATACTCCTCTGCATATTTCACCTGGAAAATGCAAAGGGAAAAAAAAGTCACATGTCACTACTCCACTGTCTACCAGGCAGCCTGAGTGAGATGCCCTGCTGCGGGCTCCCTAACACCCTGCACATCCCCTGTGACCCCTTCTATGGCTCACAATTGGCTGCTCTTTTATCTGACTCCCTAGTAAACTCTCAGATGGCTAAGGAGGAGGCCAAGTGTGCCTTCTTTACCTTTTTATTCCCAATACCTAGCACAGTGCATGGCATATGGAGACACTTAATGAGACTGGTCAGTCAGGAGATCAAACGACATATTGCACTGGGCAAATCTGCTGCCAAAGACTTCCTTAAAGTGTTAAACAGTAAAGATGTCATTTTGAAGACTAAAGTACACCTGAGCCAAGCATGGTATTTTCAAGATCCTCATATGAATGTGAAAACTGGACAATGCATAAGGCAGACAAAAGAAGAATGGATGCATTTGAACTGTGGTGTTAGCAAAGAATGCTAAAAATACCATGGACTACCAGAAGAATGAACAAATCTGTCTTGGAGGAAGTGCGGCC